GACGGGAAGCAAGGAGGGACGGGAATCGGGTAGTTCTGTGTTTACTTGGTTCAGGAAGAGGAAGAGAATGGAGAGTACAATGGTTTTGGAGAAGGAAATTGGAGGTATATGGTGGGTGTGCATTTGGAAGAGGGAAGAAATAGTCCAGAATTTGAGTATAGGAAAGAGAATCGAACGCAAGATGTGTGTTTGTAGATCCCGAAAGCCGTCCAGGGTCATGAATAGTGTAGGGGAGTATTTGTGACAAAGAGGAAAGGGAAGAAAAGGGTGAATTCAGTGCAAATGTGTGGAAAAAGAAAATGAAAGGATAGCGTCTTGTGTGCATATTTGGAGAAAGGAGAAAATTGGGTAAATTTGTGTTTAGGGAAGAGAATCCCAGGGTGGTGTGTTTCTACGAGAGGGAAGCAAGGGAGGGAAGTCAATAGTGTAGTTGTGTGTTTGTGTGGTTGAGGAAGGCAAAGAGAAGGAGAGTATTGTTTTTGGAGAAGAATATTGTAGGCAGAGGTATTGTGTGTACATTGGAAAAGGGAGTAAATAGTCTAGAATTTGTTTGTAGATAAGAGAATGGATCGCGTGGTGTGTGTTTGTATATCAGGGAAGCCAATCAGGGTCCTGAATAGTGTAGTAGAGTGTTTGTGAGGATGAAGACAGGGAAGAAAAGGGAGAATATGGTGCAAGTGTGTGACCAAGGAAAGCAAAGGGACAGTGCCATTTGTGCATATTTGCAGAAGGGAGAAATTAGGGTAGAATTTGTGTACAGGGAAGAGAAATGACAGGGTGGTGTGTTTTTATGAGACGAAAGCAATGGCTGGACATGAATTGTCCAGTTGTGTGTTTGTGTGGGTCAGGAAGGGGACTAAAAGGGAGAGTATACTGTGCTTCCAGAAGGAAAATATAGGCATAGGTATATTTGTCCATTTGGAATAGGGAGGAAATAGTCTTAAATTTGTGTAAAGGGAAGCAAATGAATCGGGTTTTATGTGTCTTTAGAATGGGGAAGCAAAGGAGGGAGTAAGTGCACTGTGTGTGTTTGGAGACGTGATAGTGTAGAATCTTTGTACAGTACAGTGATAGTTTGTCAGTGTTTGTGTGGTTGAGGAGGGGGAAGAACGGAGATAATATATTGTGTGTGTGGAGACGGAAAGGGTAGGTCAGGGTCATCTGTGTATTTGGAGAGGGATATACACATAGTGTATAATTTGTGTATAGGGAAGAGAATGGCTAGGCTGGTGTGTGTTTGCAGAACAGGGAGCAAAGGAGTCACGTTAAGAGGGTTGTGTGTGTGTTTGCAGAAACAATAGTGTGGCAGGTTTGCACAGAGAAGGAAGGGGAATGAATAGTGTAGTATGTGTTTCGGTGTAGTTGAGGAAAGGGTAGAAAAAGGAGAGTATAGTGTTTTTGGAGAAGGATAATGGAGGCATAGGTAGCGTATGTACATAGAAGGCAGGAAATAGTCTAGAATTTGTGTATAGGGAAGAACATTGAGCAGGTGGTGTGTCTTTGTAAAACACGGAAGCAAGGGATGGACGTGAATGGAGCAGTTTGTGTTCTTGTGTGGTTGAAGAATAAGAGAATATAGTGTGTTTGGAGAAGGAACAATTAGGGATAGGGTACCATGTGTGTATTTAGAAGGGAGGAAATTATGTGGAATTTGTGTGTAGGGAAGAGAATGGATAGGGTGGTGTCTGTGTGTAGAAGAGGGAAGCAAAGGAGGGATGTGAATAGTCTAGTCTGTGTTTGGAGAAGCCATAGTGTAGTGTGGAGAATCGTGTGTGTTGGACAGGGAGAGGGTAGCAATGGGGTAGTATGTATCTTCGTGTAGAAGGGAGGAAATAGTTTATAATCTGTGTATAGGGAAGAGAATTGATAGGGGTGAATGTTTGTAGAACAGGGAAGCAAAGGAGGGTAGTGTGTGCGCTACTGTCTTTGAGGAAAGCAAAGGGAGCATATCGTGTGTGGGTGTGGAGAAAGAAAGGGTAATGTTAGGGTAGTGTGTGTCTATTTGGAGAAGGGAGGAAATAGTCTAGAATTTGTGTATAGGGAAGAGAATGGATGGGGTGTGTGTGTTTGTAGAAGGATCGTGTTCAATGTTTGCACAGAGAGGAAGCGGAAGGAATAATGTATGTGTGTTTGTGCAGTTGAGGAAAGGAAAGAAAACGAAGAATATAGTGTTCTGGGGAAGGAAAGTCTTGGATTAAGGTACTGTGTGCGTATTTGCAGAATAGAGGAAATACTGTAGAATTTGTGTATAGGGAAGAGGATGGATCGGTGGTGTGTGTGAAATAGGGAAGCAAATGATGGATGTGAATGGAGCAGTTTGTGTTCTTGTGTGAAGAAAGGGAAGACAAGGGAAAATATAGTGTGTCTGGAGAAGGAAAAAGTAGGGATAGGATACTGTTGTATATTTAGAAGGGAGGAAATTTTGTAGAATTTGTGGTTAGGGAAGAGAATGGATAGGGTGGTGTGTGTATGTAGAACAGGGAAGCAAAGGAGGGCAGTGAATGAAGTAGTGTGTATGTTTGGAGAGAGGATCCTGTAGAATGTTTGCACAGAGAAGGAAGGGGAAGGAATAGTGTAGTGTGTGTAGAAAAGGACTGGTGTAGTGTTGTGTGTGTATGGGCACAGGAAACGGGAACACTGGGGAAAGGCAGTATAGCATTGTGTGTGTTTGGAGAATGGAAGAGAAATGAAATAACAGTGTGGTGTGGAGAAAAAAATGAGAAGATGAGTTAGAGTACAGTGTGTGTGTAGGCAAAAAAAGGAAGGTAAAGGAGGGGACGACGTAGAGAGTTGGAGATGGGATGGGAACAAGGGCAGTGTGGTGTGTGGAAGAGGGAAGGGACCAATGGCAAGGGATTGTGGTGTGTGTAAGAGAGAAGGATGGCAGAGTCAAAAAAGGAAAGGGGGGAAGGGACAGAACACGGTAGTGTGGGGGAAGAGGGAATGGAAGAGAAAATCAGAAAGTATAGTGTAATTGCGTTTTAGTGTGTAGGGAGAAGGAAAAGGAAGGAATTCTACTGTGTATGTGTGGAGATGGGAAGGAAAGGGAGAGTATAGTGTTGTGTGTGTACAGAAAAAAAGGGAAGAGAACAAGAGGAAAAGCAATGTGTATAAATGCAGTAATGAAAGAAAGGGGAGCATGTCCACTGGTAGATAAAGTGAGGGTGGGAAGGCTGCAGTAGTGAGTGTGTGTGTGGAGGAGAAGAGGTTAAACAGGAAGAGGGGTGGTAAGGAAGAGTATAGTGTGGGTAAAAAATGGAAAGCACAAGCACAGGTGGAGACAGGGAAGGAAGAAGATGGAAATTTTTGCTGTAGTTGTATTTGCAGAGAATAGTAGGGATGAGCAGGAAAGGAAGGGGAAGATGGGCAGGGGTAGTGTAGTGTGGGTGTGGTTGAGAGAAGGGCAGAAATGCCTTGTGTATGGTGGGGGGAAGGGAAGGGCCATACATACCACATGTGTAGGAGGGGAGGGAAAGGAAAGACGGGAAGGGAGAGCACAGTGCGTGCAGGTACGTGCAGGCCAGAGGGATGGGAATGGAAGGCATGGTGTGTGTGTGGCAGGGGGAGGGAGCGGGAGAAGGGAAGGAGAAAATGGGCAAAGAGTGTGCAGTGGTGTATGGGCGGGGTGGGGAGGGACTCCCAAGACTGCTCTTCAACCACAAACTAAAAAAACTAAAGAAACCAGCCAACCCTTGCTACAAGTCCCTTTTACTCGCTCTCCCTCACTTCTGAAAGCCTCATCATATTGGTAAGGAAAGGAACTGTGGACATTCTAAGTGACTTTTCTCAAACCTTCCTCCAGGACTTTACTCCTTCTGGTCTTGGCATGGGCTCTCGGGCCCCACAAGAACTCAGAGCATGGAGGATGTCCATCTGGCACCTGGTGGTCCTGGGGTACGTTTCCTGCACCAAATGTCTGGTCATGAGCTTCCTGGCCTCCCACAGGTGAAGAGTTTCTTCCCAGCCTACAGTGCCATTATGTTTAGGAATTCTTAGATCTACTCCTCAGCAGAGCGGTAGCCCTTCCTGGTCACGCCCAGGAGAGTCATCTAGAGACCAGTCTCAGGCAGTCGCTGCCACCATTTAAGCTCCCCTCACTAGTGACACCCAGTTTGCTGACAAGGCCATAGAAATGCTCGGCAGAGTGCACATCTTTGAACTTAAAGCAAAAGACTACCTGCCAAGTGTTCAGAGGCATTCTAGAAGGCCACAAGGAAGAGTTCTTTGTATTCTTTTCAGCATGTCTGCCTTCGTCATGACTGTTCATTTTATATTTGAGCAAGAGGGACTATACCAACAACGTTACCTTCTTGCTGGGAAGGTCTCGGCGTGATTATGCACACCGACATCTACCAGTCATGTGTGTCTGCGAGCACGCATCCATGCTCAAGGGTTGCTGAAAAGAAATACTGGCCTTACCAATGTGATTTACTGTGATATTTGCTAATTCGAAGCCATACACTAAATTCAAAAAATAATAAAGGCCCGTACTTACCTGTAAGGAGGTTTCGGATGTGCTGTCCTTCCATAACCCCATGGATACCAAGAGCAGTGGTCTCTCAGGGTCCCACGATGAAGCAGTAGAAACTGCTGGTCCTAAGGCACACTGGGAAGATTCAGGGGCAGAGCTTTAAAATTTTCCCTCCACTGATGATGTCCTATGCATTTACTGCAGGCCACAGGACCACCCCAAGCTTTAAGGCACACAGCTCACCTCCACTACGTACCGGTGAGAAATACTTACCAGTCACCTCTCTGATCAAAGACTTGGGTTGTGTTTTCTTTGGTATTAGCTAATGACGCTTTGATCACATGCATACCATCCCCCACTGCCCTAAAAAAGTTCTCTACATTTAACAACAAGAAACAATCTACATAGAAAATGAGCATATGGCTTTTGAACACACGGTTCGCCAGAGAGGATATATGGATAGTAAATAAGGAGATGACAAACTATTCACACCACTGTCCATTACTATAATGTAAATTTAAGCCACAACAACATACTGCCACATACCTACTAGAGTAGGTAAAGCAGAAATTACTGAAAATAGCAAGTGCTGCTGTGGGTACAGAACAAGTAGATCTGATTCTCAGTGATGGTGACAGTGTAACATGGTCCAGGATCGCTGGAAATCAACTTACCCGTTTCTTACAAGTTAAACATATACTTACCAGATGACAGAGCAAGCCCCTTCTGAAAACTTACCCTAGTGAAATGAAAATAGATGTTCACACAAAACAGCATACACAAATGTACCTAACAACTGTATTTGTGATCGCCCCAAACCAGAGATAACTCCGGCCTCCTTCAGTGGATAAAAGGATAAACTGGGAATACTGGGAATACTATTCAGCAGTCAAAAGGGACATACTATTTGTCCTGACAACTTGGGAGGATCCCAAGTGCATTAGGCCAACTGAAAAAGCCCATTTCATAAAATTATGTAATTTTAAATTCCATTTATATAACATTTTCAGAAAAGAAAAATTATACTAATAGAGAATAGACCAATGGTTGCCAAGGATTACATCTGCTGTGATTATCAAGAAGGAACGTTAAAAATAGAACTACCCTATGATCCAGTAATCACACTACTGGGTATTTACCAAAAATATACAAATATAATAATGCAAATACATGTACCCTGATGCATTATTTACGATAACCTCACTATGGAAGCAGCTCAAGTGTCCATCAATTGTTGAATGAATAAAGACATGGTGCATGCATGTATGTATATTCGTGTGTGTGTGTGTGTGTGTGTGTGTGTGTGTGTGTGTGTGTATGCATGTACTTATATACCCACAATGCAATATTATTCATCCATAAGAAAGGAATGAAATCTTGCTATTTGTGATGATGTGGATGGAGCTAGAGTATATTGCTAAATGAAATAAATCAGGGGAAGACAAATACCTTATGATGTCACTCATGTGGAATTAGAAACAACAAATGAGCAAGGGGAAAAAAAGAACCAAGGAACAGACTCTGAACGATAGAGAAGAAACTGATGGTTCCAGAGGGGAGCCGAGTGGGGGGGATGGCTGAAATAGGGGTGTGCGGATTAAAGAGTGCACTTAACATGAAAAAAAATACTAAACCCCAAAAGAGAAGGAACATAGGGAGTTTCTCTGGGGCTTGGGGAAATTTCTGTGTCTGAATTCTGGTAGGATTCATACAGATTTATACATGGGACAAAAATGTCTTTAGCTATATACCAAAGAAAACAAAACATAACAAAAAGCACTGATTGCCTGTCTACTTGAAGTCTGGTGAAATCCAGATTTGATTGCAGTTAAATACTACTCTACCAATGTCAGTCTATGAGTTCTGCTAAATGAACTATCACAATGTAAACAGATTTGTTTGGATGAACTGGTTGTAAGAGCCACAGGAATTTTCTGTACTATTTTTACAATTTGTGTGTAAGTATAAAATTATTTCAAAATGAAAGACTTTAAATAGGGAGGCCGTAACTTGTACAATTATTAGTGTTTGCCAATATCCACTTTTCTGTCCTTCTAGGCCATAATTTCTGGGGTCTAACTGCAGTTTATTGAGCCAAATGATAATAATATGCTTCTGATAGATGTAGTGATTTCAAATAAAATACAGAACTATACAAAGAGTGTGGGATATGAGACTTACTTATGCAAATGTGGAAGGAGATGCAAGGAGTAATCCGTGTTATGACTTGCTCAAGGGAGGATATACAACTTCTATTAAATTTCTAATACAGGGAAATAAACCTTATTTCCTGTCCTGTTCACTGTACATTATTCTCACTCAGTTGTCACTTAGGCAATAAACGCAACTTTCTTAGAAACACAAATCCTCCCCACACTACACAGTAAGTCGTGATTTACATTGTGCTACAGATCATGTGATAACCTGGAGAGGACTAGTACAGATTTTTTTTTTTTCCAAGTACATCCAGCCTAGGTTATTATAACCAGAAAGATACAGCTCTGGACTCCATGCATCCCTGTCACCCATGGTCGATTTAATAAACAGTCCCATCATCACAGATTCTCTATCCATCCTACAAATGTCTGCATTCTGAGTCAACCTCTTACCCTAGGAAATAGCTGATGGCAAGGAGGCCACCAGATAGAGGCATAGGACATCCGGCCTCTGGTGTGCCAGGAGGTCAGGAACCAGGGAGGACAGTGTGAATTGCAAATACCATCTAGATCATCTCTTCCAGACATGTCCACACTCAACCCTTTATCTGTAGAATCACTGAGGCAATAGGCCAAAGCATATCTCCCCTCAGTTCCACCTCCCTGCAGTGGTAGGCCCCTTACAGTGCTCACTGGTACTCGTGGCCCATCTCAGCTGTCATCACTTAGCAAACGTGCCCAGCCTGGAACACTGGCGAGGATGCTGTGAGCTACTACAGCAGCCAAGAGATGTAGCCCTCCCGGGATCCAGCAGGCAGCATAACCGCGTGATGCCGGAAAGCCATCTGTGGTCTGCCTGACTTTGGGCATGGAGACTTTAGAGGCAGGGCAGGGTGTCCTCTCACCCAGCAGACCTGCCCACTGAGACCACCTCACAACTTCAGCTGGTGGTGGCAATTCAGAGATTTGCCAAGCCTACTAACAGAAATTCTTGGACCCACTACCCACATTCCTCGCTCTTGTCCTTATGGTTCTTTGCCCACTTTGTGCTCAACTCTCGATCCAGAATGCTGACCACCAGCCTGCCCTGGGCTCTCTAGATGAGGTTTTACACATGGTCTCTCTCTCCCTTATGGGCCCTCACAATTGCTTTGACCTCCAACCCTCATTAGCTAAGGGTGTCCTGCCTCGCTCCACGGCTCAGCAACTGATCCTTCTGTGAAGTCCTTGCTTTTATAAGTAAAGGAGGAATGTCTTTTTCAAAATATAAAAGTATGCTGAGAAAAATCCAGGCACTCAAGACAGTAATGCAGAAGTGCCACTCTAAGGGAGTCACTGAATTTTATATTCAACCTTTTTAGAAAAGAAGGAAATAAAAAGTAAAAAAATACTGAGACCATCTTTCACCCCAAAGTTTGACCAAAATTTCAAAGTGTGATGAAAAAATGCCTAGGAGGATGTAAGGCAGTCACACACATTCACTGGTCAGACCATGAAGTGGTAGAGCACTTTTGGAGCAGAAGTTCAGCAATACTTGTTAAAACTTCCCAATCTTCACACTCACCCACTTACATCAGGCTTGTACTTTGCTACATCTTTCCTATGAGAAAGCATGCACCTTTGCCCAAGATTTCATGTTCAAAGATGTTGATTTCAGTCCTGTTAATCATAGCAACAAATGGGAAACACTTTATATGTCTATTAGGAGGAGAATGGTTAAATTAATTATTGCACAAACATAAGTAAGATGATCTTTACCTGTTCTTTTTTGGGGGGAAGGGCTTGGGACTAGATGATTGGAGTTGCCAATAATACATGATTAACGTCTCCATGTAATCAAGACTTGCACTGCCCTGATTGCTCCTGTCTTCTCCCTGATGAGGTCTCCTTCAATAGGCCAAGAGGTCTATGAAAAGTTGCTCAACATCATTAATTATGAGGGAAATGCAAATCAGAACCACAATGAAATATCACCTCATATCAGTTAGGATGGTTAATATAAAAAAAAAAGTGTGGGCAAGAATGTGGAGACATTGAAGGCTTGCACACTGTTAGTAGGAATGTAAAATGGTGCAGCCACTATAGAAAACAGTGTGGAAGTTCCTCAAAAAATTAAAAATAGAAATACCATATGATCCAGCAATCTCATTCCTGGGTATAAATACTCAAAAGAATGGAATTTAGGATCTCAAAGAGATACCTGCATTTTTACCCTCTTTGTAATTACTATTCACAATAGCCAAGTTCTGGAAAGAAACTAAATATCCACTGAAGAGAAATGGGTAAAGTAAATGTGATGTGTGTGTGTGTGTACGTATACACACACATATATATGTCTTTAAGATTGATTTATTGATTTTAGAGACGGCACATTCAGAAGTAGGGGAAGGAGCAAAGGGAGAGAGAGAATTTCAAGCAGACTCCCCGCTGAGCATGGATTCCCCGAGCCCTATGCGGGGCTCAATCCCATGACCCCAAGGATCATGACCTGAGTCATAACCAATAGCTGGCCGCCTAACCGACTGTCACCCAGACGCCCCATATGTTTTAATAAATATATACACATTCATACATACACACCGTTGATAGAGGAGATTTTCAAACTTGTTATGTTTGCGGGCCCTGCTCCTAGGCGCCCACAGCAGCTTTAACATTTACCAAGGTCAAAATGACTCAGCCAGACCTTGAAACAGAAGCTCTATTTCTGCCCCGGGCACACCGTACGTCTGCTTCACTAAAACAACCAGGAAAGGAACATTCCAAACAAAGAAAAAAAAAAGGCTCCCTGGTTCCCATAAGATGGAGGTCCTACAGCCTTGCACATACTAAAAACATAAGATAAAGTCTGTAACTTTCTGTAATGCCCTTTGTTGTGATGATTTTTAACTTTTTTTGTTAAAAAAAAAAATTATCTGACCCTACACCAAATATTCTTTCCCTGAAGCGCTCTCTTCTTTTTGAAGATTGTATATCCAGGGCAGTTGTCCTAACTTGGGCTCGAATAAAACCCTTTTCCTTTAAAATTAAAAAGAAAAAAAAAGATTTGTTCATTTTGGGTCAACACAGTGGAGTCTTATTCTGCCTTAAAAGAGGAAAGCCTGCCATTTGAGGCAGCACGGGCAAGCCTGAAGGACGTTATGCTCAGTAAAACAAGCCACTCACAGATGAATGCCTTGTGGTTCTACTTATGTGACATACCTAACATCATCGTACCTGCAGAATCAGAAAATAGAACTGTGGGTACCAGGGGCTGGGAGGAGGAGCCAATGGAGAGTTAGTTGTTCTACTGATAGAAAGTTTCAGGTATGTAGGATGACTTAATTCTGGAGATCGGCTTACAGTTAACAGTACCATACTACACACTTAAATATTCTTCAGAGAGTTCATGTAACATGTTTTTTAGAAAAATAACCAAAGGGACACAAGGAACCTTTTGGAGGTGATGGATATGTCTTACCTTGATTGTGATGATGATTCCACAGATGTATACATATGTCCAAACTCATCTGACCACACATGTTAAGTATGAACTGAATTTTATATACTTCAATAAACCTATTTTAAAAGAAAAAAGAATTCTAGGGATCAGTTAAGAGTGTGGTGGGTCTGTATGTCCTGTCATGGAAATACCTTGTATTCATTTTATTACATCAAGGACAAGAGGCAGAATAATATATACATTGTTAATGACAAATCTTAAAAATTCAATATATTTTTATAGCACATCTACATAAGAAAAAGCCTCAAGTCAGCTTTAAAATGACACACATCAGATTGTTCATTGTGATTACCTCTGAGGAGGAGGCTGAATTTTGAGGAGAGGGGAGACTGTAATTTATGTGTATTGTTAGAAGTCTTTATAAGAACATATGTACTATTATCATTGTTATTAAAATATTTAAATACATCTCACCACAAAGATAGTAGCTGTGCATTAATCAGATAAAGCGATTGATGGCTGATCCTGACAGCAAACCTGCCAAGGCTTAAAACAACAAAAGTTTGTTTGTCATACACATGGTCTGATGTTGGTTGCCGAGGGCCCCCTCTGTCAGATGACCCAGGAGTCCAGGAAGCTCCCATCAAATGGCTCCACTTCTCAACAAGGGTCTCCGTTTGCTGCTGCATCAAACAGAGTCGTACTAGCTCCCAAATACCTCGTCCTGGAGGTGACGAACACTGTGTCTGTTCTTGTTTCAGTGTTAAGACAGTGGTTGTACCACCCTTCCTAAGCAGGGAGGGAATGCAGTCTCCCCATCAGCCCAGGAAGACCAAGACATGATGTGATAAGCCCTTGCAGCCTCTCCCATTAATTGTAACATAGTAGGTGCTCAATAAAGAGCAACTCTTAGAATTTGTTATGAAAACAACCCTCTTCTTGGAGTCTAAGTAGGCCAGTTTGCCTTGCAGTTCTGGTTTTTTCCAATCCTGCTATGTGGCAGGTGCTTTCAAAGACTGGATCACATTTTTTTTTTAGGTTTTATGTATTTATTTGACAGAGGCACAGCAAGTGAGAGAACACAATTATGGGGAGTGGGATAGAGAGAAGCAGGCTTCCTGCTGAGCCAGCAGCCCAATACGGGACTCTATCCCGGGACCCTGGGATCATGACCTGAGCTGAAGGGAGACGCTTAACCGACTGAGCCACCCAGGTGCCCCCACATTTAATTTTCAAAAGGATCCTGTAAAATCTTAGTAAAAAGGGCTCACCTTTTGCACTCAATGGCTCCTTTCTGTACTCACCTTTTAAACGAGTTCTAGACTCTCTATAGGATGAGAAGGGTCTCTTTATGGAAGCATGATCAAAACTTGGGAGACTGGGCAATCCTTAGCATGACTGAACATGCAGGACACTTGGACAGATGCCATTAGGCACAAAGACAAACCAGCATTTTCCTCTGGGGCAAGTACTGAGATAAGAGGCAGCAGAAGAATGGCAAATTATTTTAGTGTTTGCTGTTCCAAGATAGTATGTCTGTCAAGAAACCATTTATCCCCCACTTACGAAAGCTCCAGGTTCTGAGGAATTCAGTCTCAGTAGATGTTTGCTGCCCAGTGATTTCCACAGTTAACCAATTATGAGGGAGGCTTTGATTGCTGACGACCAACTATGTGAGTTCAGTCCTCGGTGTATGTTCAGTGCCAGTCTCAGACTCCACACTCCTGCAAAACCCTACTGACAATATCTGTGCTGTTTACAAGACCCCCATCTAACCTCAGTTACATGCCGAGAACCATCTATTCTGTAAGAGTCTAAACACCTGTTTATTTGGGATACACTTCCTTATTGTTGTAGGGATTGGGGGGGTGGGCTGTGGTAATCCAGTATCTAAACTCCGCTGGCTATGGTTCCACTGAGGGTTGGGACCTCCAAGGTCCCCCTACAGGGAGCTGAAAGGCTCTTAGGGGAGGGCAGGTGATTCAGGACTATCTGGATCGCCGGAAGCTGGGTGCAGCATCCAGCAGACACAGTGGAGAGCTGGTTAGCAAACGAGGTTCCAATTTGGACCGGAGGGCACACTGGGGAATGCTCAGGAGACAAGGGCTATAATGCAGACAAGTGCCGGGACAAAAGGAGCCTCACACATAACCCCCAAATAGTGCTTTATTCTCACATTCACCTTCCTTCTTCAGGACTGCTTTTAGCACGTGGCTAAAACGTTTGGGTTTTTAATGACCTGTGATATACCTTGGAGTAGTGAGAAGGATAGAAAATTAAGAGCCAGAAGGTTGCCTCAGGCTGGAGGAATGGAAAAGCGTGAGGCCCAGTCAAATATAACCAGGGATCGAGTCCTGGCACTGTGACTTATCAGCCATGTAAACTTGAGAAAATTACAAGTTCTTCAGCTGCAAAATATGTCTGATAAGCCCCATCCTGTGGGACTGTTGGAATAAATGTAACAGGAATGAGGCACTTGGCAGAGTAATTAGAAAACAGTAGGTCTTCAATGAATGGTAGTTATCATAGGATTGATTTTTTTTTCTTTCTTTCTTTCTTTTCTTTTCTCTCTCTCTCTCTTTTTTTTTAACCTGCTGATGATACCATCCTCTTCTCTGGGGAAATTTATTTTATTTCTTAATTTTTTGAGATTTATTTTTTAATTGAGAAGGTATCACAGAATATGCAACTTTTAGGACAAATAACACCAAATTAGCCCATAATGCTTCTCAGCAAGTAAAACTAAAGAAGATTTTACCCAGTTCAGAATAAGTTAAGTTAACTTGGGTGTAGAAGAGTTCCCCCCACCCCCGCCCCCTAGCCAGAGGCAACTCAGATGTCCCAGAATGTATCAAAGACCAAGATCTTCGCTCCCAGGTGCCCTTTCCATCCAAACCACCCTCATTTTCACCCATTTCACGACCACCCAAAATCTAATCCTCCCTTAGAATCTGCAAAATTACACTCATGATAATCTACTTAAAATGCCCTTTTTTTAAAAAATAATTTTATTTTTTCAGTGTTCCAAGATTCATTGTTTACGTACCACACCCAGTGCTCCATGCACTATGTGCCCTCCTTAATACCCACCACCAGGCTTTCATTGGGACCTGGTTCCTCACCCACTTCAGTGTGGAGAGCCAACACAGTATCTTCGCGGCATCCCACCTTCAAGGAGTAGCACCCTTATTAGATACTCCCTGATGATGCTGTGCCTACAATGAGATTGCGCTCCTTGTCCAACCGCCATGAACAAGAACACAGGATGCCTTCCATTTCTGCCTGTGGAGGTTTTCCTCCGGTTTACTGATGGTACCGAAGTAACGCTAAAGAGCCGGTTTGCATTTCATGTCCTTCAACACCAAGAAACCATCTGTCTGTCTGGCCTCTGCTCACCAGTCCCATAGTCCTGTTGGCCCACCAAGCAGCTTCAATTAACAGTCTATCCCACCCAGGGGGTCACAGTTTCCTAAGATCCCCAAACTGCCTTTCTTCAGGGAATTTATACCTTATTACTCAGCCAGACACCCTCCCTGTCCCACTTCTTCCAACCCTCTCCCTGCCTCCTTACCTCTTTACTCTTTCTTATTGGTCCTTTGGGTCTAAGAGGGTCCTTTTGCATCTTCTTCATATGATTACTGTTCCTGAAATGCACAATCTAAGGCCAGGAGTGCTTTATATCCTGGCTTCCCCATTTCTTTCTTTTTTTTTTTTTTTTAAGATTTTATTTAATTATTTGACAGACAGAGATCACAAGTAGGCAGAGGCAGGCAGAGAGATGGGGGAAGCAGAGAGCAGAGAGCCCCATGCGGGACTCGATCCCAGGACCCTGAGATCATGATCTGAGCTGAAGGCAGAGGCTTTAACCCACTGAGCCACCCAGGCGCCCTGTGGCTTCCCCATTTCTAACACTGACTTTTACAGAGCAGATGCTCAGTTAGTACCTGGAAAATAAATGAGCCAGCAAGCATGAATTCTACTGTTTAAACATTTTATTTCTCCTCCATTCTTTAATAAGCCAAACAAATCCATGTATGTATCTTCTATCCTTACAGAGCAACAAACTAAAATGTATAGGGGAAACCGAGAATGGAACGTCTTTTGCTTCTTTCCCCTCCATTTTCTGATCCTGGTAATTTTACCGCTCAATTTTTTTCGCATTTCCAAGGGAAAGCCTGTTACAATAACATGTCTTATTGTTCTGTTTTGGTAAATATGAAAGGTTTCCCAATCTGGTTTACTAACTAACAAAACTCCTAATCCTAAAGCTATTAAAAAGAAATAACCAACTAAAATTATGACTAAACTTAAATATGAAAATTATGTAAACTTTTTGTTAAAGAAACATTTGAAATATAACAAAAAGAAAAAGAAAGCAAAAGGAAGGGAGAAAGAAAAAAGAGAAAGAAAAAAAAGAGAAGAAAACAACTCTAAGTTTATGAGATATAATAGGAACACAAAGACAATATTCACTGTGTTTCTTCTAGATCCACCCTGGCTGTCGGTTACTTAAAATGTAGACTGCTTTTTCGTTCCACAGAGAAAAGAATCTGCTTCAAACTTCAACATTGGATATAAAACCTAAAAAAAAAAAAGAAAGAAAGAAAAGGGGTGAAATTCCACGTTACTGATATACAAGAGGAACACAAAGATGACACCCGCTTCTCCAGCCCCCCCGACCCTTCGCCATTCAAATGCTGACGCACCTGGTCAACCGGTCAAAGACATCACTTAGGGTGGGAGAAGCTGCTGGCCAAGGCCCTGGCACGTGCGCTGGCCATGGCAGCGGTGCGAGCCCTGGCGGCAGCTCGGGCTCGGGCTCGCTCTTCCTCATCTCTCAAAGCCTCTTCATACCACGACGGGAAGGCGCTGGGGACAGTATCATGGATCTTGGCCAGAAACTCCAGGACTCTCATCTTGCTGGTCTCAGCGTAAGCTCGCTGGCCCCACAGGAACTCGAAGCGTGGAGGATCACTGTCGGCCACCTGGCGGTACTGGAGGTACTGCAGCTGCACCAAATCTTGGGTGATGACCTTCTTGGGCTCCCCGTAGATGAAGTGCTTCCTTTCCGCATAGACGCCCATCATATTCAGGACTTCCCAGACTTCCTCCTCAGGGGCGCAGTTGCCTTTCATGAAAATCACACCCAGCACGATCATCAGGAGGCCGGTCTTGGGCATGTTTTCGTCCTCGTGCATCGAGCCATCGGTGAGGTCTAGCTTGTTGACCAGGGTGTAGCAGTGGCGGATGGGATCCACTTCCTTCAGATCAAGCCCGAAGGCCAGCTCCATATGCTCGGAGGCTCTCTTGAGGATCTCATTGAACTGATGCCTGTACTTTTTGATGGCAAACTTCAGCATGTCTGCCTTTGAAATTGGCTCTCTCTTTTGATACTTCTGCAGCAGGAACTGCACCAGCAAAACTACCTTCTTGTTTAGTGGGTCTCTGTGTGAGACCTCAGAGCCCTTCGATGATCTGGGGCTTCCCTCATCTTGGCTTCTGGCACCTTCATCTGAATCAGTGCCTGAAAGAGCTGCATTGGCACCAGTGGAAGATGCGGCTCCCTGAGGACGCCTAGGAGTTGCAGCAGCAGGTCTACCCCCAGAGAGAGCACAGGCAGAGGGGGACTCTCCTGCTGCTGCTGCGGTAGCCTGAGCCTCCTTCAGAGCCTGGGTCTCATAGCGGGCCTGGCGGCGTTTCTCACGGGCACGGAGCTTACTCTTCTGACCTCTAGGCATGGTGACACTGGTCAGAGATGGCAGGCAAGAGTTAGGTGCAAGCAGTTGGGTTGATGAAGATGTCACCCTAGAATATGGAAGAAGAGATGGTGTGTCTAGCCTCAATAAGGATATTCTACCTGGGCTCCAAGAGAAGCTGCCTCTGCTTATTCCCTTAACGATACTGTTTTTAGGAACCCACAAAACAGGGGTGAGCAGGACTCCATGCACTTACTCTCTTCTGTGGCAGCTTGGGAACTCAGTTTAAACTCAGAGTACTAAACTTGACTCCTAATTGGTCTTCTGAAACCATCCTCTGCTGACTTGAGGCTGCCCCTTCAGCCAAAGACCTCCCAAACCACAAATGCGCAAGGCAGAAGTGAGGGCCCTTGGGCCTAACAGTCATACTTCGGCCACCAGATCAAGACACTGGGGGTGGGGTGTGCCAGAATAGGACCGGGCTCTTTGGGGAACCTCAGTTCTGAAAGGAGTGTATCCCTCCAGGCCTAGCAAGTTCCTCACCTTGACAACTGTCCACTCCTGGCACTCCTCCTTTGCTGGTGTGAGACCACACCTCTCCACGTCTCAAACGAACTCAGGCTCCACTGCGCATGTAGCGGAAGTCAGGGTGAGCACTTCCGGCCACGCCCATCTGGGCTTCCCAGCAAAAAATCTCGCGTGGGTTTCTGGGGGAGTCCCCTCAGTACTGGTGGTGGAAGAATTAGGCAGAAGTCAAACAGGGGTCCTTTCTGACTCCTGACTTGCAAGGTCTGGGATTTCTTCCTCTGGTGAAGTTAGCTCACATCAGACCAAGGCTTTCATTTCCCTCAGAACCCCCAGTAGGAAGTAAGGTGGGAGTAGAGCTGAGCAGCCATGACTGGGACCTTCCAAGACTGACAGTGGGGGGGGGTGTGTGGAAATATCTCTGTTGCCCCTTATTTTTGGGTGGATTCTCCCCCTCACTCCTCGCTCAGTGTCATACCTTGACACCTTGTTGGTGCTGGGCTGTGTCTCTTCTGCTGACCCAGAGTCAAATCCATCAGGTAAGGCAGAAATCTGTAAATAATTTAAGAATTGACATCTGTACAATATTCTACACACTGTAAATGAGCGTGGTGTATTGCTCTATTTGAGATTTCTTTTACCTAAGTCTATTAGTAACTTTTTAAAAATATTTGGTTCCATAAGGATCATGTACATATTTCTTACTTCTTTTTTTAGGTATATTTTGGATATTGCTACTGTTTCAAGTGGTATGTTCTCCATGATGTATTCTACCATTTATTTTGTGTGGCTAGACTTCTGATTTTGCTGTAGTGGGCTACAACAGTTTCCTAAAGTGCCTTATACATTTGAATATTTGACAGTCAATTTCTTTGGAGTTGTTAATTATGGGATCTTATTATCTCTTTTCATAATCCATATATTTTATTTTGGTATTCTTATGTATGGCTATATGCTGGCTCTGTCAACCACTACAGCTTAGAATAGTAGAAATGATACCACACCTCCATGTCCTGTTCTGACTTTAGTGGGAATGTTTTAACATTTCATACTTATGTATGTGTGCTGTTGATTTTAGAATATGGAAATTCTATTCTAATATGTTTGCTAACAGTTACTAGCATGAACTGGTGTTGAATTTTTATCAAAGGTATTTTTTTTTCTCTACTTTCAGAACATGATAAAATGCTTTCTCTTCTCTGTTAACATAGTGAATTCCAATTCACAGATTTTTCTCATATCATATGATCTTTGTATTCCTTGGACACAGCCTCTTTCTTCACTTAATTCACTGCTGTACTGCATAGGCTATGAATTTATTTAGAATATGTATATGGGTGAGCTTGACGCAAATCTTTTTTCTTGGGGCATACTCATCTGGTCTTTGTATCAAGGAAAGTTAGCCAGTTAAAGTGGTTGAGTGATTTCCCATCTTCCTGAATGGCTTTTAAGAGCTTACTTAATGTGCTGATTAGCTTTTTCTTCATCATTTGGTGTAATAACCTTTCAACCTGGCTGATCCCGTTACATTTTGAGGGCAAAATTTGCCCTGAAAATATATCAGGACTACAGTTTTGGGTTCTTTTGTTCAATGAAAGATTTGTACTTCTTCATGGACCTATTTAGTGATTTATATTTTGCTAAAAATGCTTCCATTTTACTTGGGTTTCCAAATTTACAGACATATTTGTAATAAAATCATTTTATTATAGAAAATTCTCCATCATGTTCATTACAAAGGATAAAATAACTCAATATACCTGATGCTCAGTATCATTTATCTTCAATAGTTATAGGAAGCTTGTTCAGTTAAGGTTTATTATTTGTCTCTTTGCTGGCAAAATCACCCCCAAAGTGTCATTAAGTTAAGTCCATTAGGAGACACATAACATCTGCTGTTTCCTTTGTGGTAATGTTGGCAGTCGTTAAGGATCATCAGTGTCATCCATTAATCCATTAGGGGCTGCTGAATTATAATTCTGGAGTTCTGTCATTTCTTCTGAGATTATTAGCTGAAATATGTCTATAGGTAGAATCTTCTGTTATCTTCCATTCTGTTTTCTTGAGGTAAGTCTTAGAGTTGCCCTGTTTTACTACCTAGAGAGCTAGATATATAGATAGGTAAAGAAAGCTAGATTTTTTGGTCTAATCAGTATCAGTAAACTCTTTAGCTCAGAATTGTATTTTTTGTAATTTTAAATAACGAGAAATATTGCTTGAGAACTAAATCAGTAACTGGATGAATAATTCATCCATTAATAATAATTATTAATGGGCAACAGTGAAATAATACATGTTCAGGCCCTAATCTTTGTCACATTACAGATTATTTGTGCCTACAGATAGTTTTAATTTCAGAAAATAGAGAATTTTACTGTAATTTACTCAAAGCTAGTTTTCTTTGAAGGAATATACTTTCTGTGTTCTTTCTACATAGCTAAGCAGTCAGCATGCCAGTTGAGTTTTATTTTTTTTCTTTATAAATTCTAATGTAGACATGGCAACTTGTTTGAATGTTATTACTCTCTTAGGTTGCATGCATGCACGTAAAAGATAAAATTGTATACTCCTTCCTCTGGGTTCACAAATTTATTCAATATAGGGCTATCCTAATAGAATCAGGGCTCGATTCATTACTGTAGCCAATGCAAAAACATCTGACTTGTTCGAATAAATATGCTAATATGTACTCTCAATTTATTAAAAAAGATTTTCCAACTTCTCATTTTACTTGTTAGTAAATTAAATACTTAGATTTTTGAATGAATATTTACTTCTTGAGTAGGTCACTTTTAGACATATTTCCAGGTTAATAAGCCTGGCAATACAAAATAGTTGTCAAGCAAAGACACTGAAACCATGGAAAAGGAGTCAGGTTATAAAACCCGGTTTGTCACCATTCTGTTAGAATGGGTAAGTTAGAACTGTATTCCCCTGTGCCTTCACCCATCCTGCTCCTCTGTGAATGATGTTATAACACGTTCTCAAGCAGAAGGGACCTAGATTGATTTGGCCCCTGACAATGATTTTAGCCTTTCAGTGGCTCAAGACCTTGTTCATCTTTATGTTCTGCTCCAGGCCAACTCAGACAAACTGTCCACTCTTAAACCTGCTGCTTCCAATACCATGTCAGCCATTTCAATGCCAGTGAAGGACTGCCAGTGAAGGACTGAACTTCTGAAGGCTTCCTCATTCCCATGTCTCATTCTCTTAGACATTAACTCCAGCCCAGGGAACAATGTTTAGGAGACACAGGCTCCATCTGTTACTAATTCAGAGGAAATGGATGCTCTGTCTTTGATGAGCACAATACCTGTGACACCATGCTTAGATTAACATAGCCAGGGGCCAATTTGGCAGATAAAGAGAACTCTATTTGGGTTTTTTAATTTGTTTTTCATTTGCATTTTAGTTAGTTAACACACAGTGCTATATTGGTTTCTGGAGTAGAATTCAGTGATTCATCACTTATATACAACATCCAGCACTCATCACAACAGGTGCCCTCTTTAATCCCCATCACCCATCTAGCCCATCCCCACACCGGCCTCCCTCCATCAACCCTAAGTTTGTTCTCTGTCATTAAGGGTCTCTTACAGTTTGTTTTGCTCTCTCTCTTTTTTAATCTTCCCCCTTCCTATATGTTCATCTGTTTTCTTTCTTAACTAACACACATGAGTGAGATCGTATAGTATTAGTCTTTCTCTGACTGACTTATTTCACTTAGCATAATACACTCTAGCTTTATTGCAAATGGCAAGATTTCATTCTTTTTGGTGGCTGAGTAATATTCTACATCTACTTTATCCATTCATTAGTCGATGGCTATTGGGCTCTCTCCACAGTTTGGCAATTGTTTAGAATGCTGCAATAAACATCAGGGTACATGTACCCCTTCAAATCTGTATTTTTGTATCCTTTGGGTAAATACCTAGCAGTGCAATTGCTGGATCATAGGGTAGCTCTATTTTTAACTCTTTGAGGAAACTCCATACTGTTTTCCAGAGTGGCGACACCAGTTTGCCTTCCTACCAACAGTGCAAGAGGGTTCCCATTTCTCCTCATCCTTGCCAACATCTGTTGTTTCTTGTGTTGTTGATTTTAGCCATTCTGACAGATGTGAGGTGGTATCCCATTGTAGTTTTGATTTGTATTTCCCCGATGATGAGTGATGTTGAACATCTTTTCACATATCTGTTAGCCATTTGGAGGCCTTCTTTGGAAAAGGATCTTCTATCCATGTCTTAACTGGATTATTTGTTTTTTGAGTGTTGAGTTTGATAAGGAAAAGATTTTTTAAAAGATTTTGTTTTTATTTTTATTTGACAGAGAGAGAGATCACAAGTAGGCAGAGAAGCAGGCAGGGCAGGCGGGGAGGCTCCCTGCCAAGCAGAGAGCCTGATGCGGGGCTCGATCCCAGGACCTTGGGATCATGACCTGAGCTGAAGGCAGAGGCTTAACCTACTGAGCCACCCAGGTGCTCCAAGGAAAACTATTTTTGAACACATTACTTTGCCACTTGCCAAGCAACCAAAACAACTGACTAGAAAGCTTCTGAATAGGGGCCCCTGGGTGGCTCAGTCGGTTGGGTGGCTGCCTTTGGCTCAGGTCAGATCCCAGGTTTATGGGATTGAGTCCTGCATTGGGCTCCCTGCTCAGTGGGGAGTTTGTTTCTCCCTCTACCCTTCCCCTCTCCTCATGATATCTCCCTCTCTCACTCTCTCTCTCAAATAAATAAAATTTATTTAACTAGGAGGTGTTAATACCTCCTAGTAACTGGAAGACAAAGAAGTGTCTAGGGTACATGTTATTGAGTCAGGACCAGGATTAAGGTGAGAAGAGTGGGGAATAAAATATTAAAGTTTTAAAGAGACGGGATCTGACCCTACACATGGATGACCCTGACAGTCTGTGCCTCACTTGTTTAAGACTATTTCCAGCCCATGGATGGTATCTTTATTTAAAAGTGTGATACTTTCTCATCATGGATTTTTACATTAACCTTATTTTGTTTAATATTGAATAAAAGCATAATTCATCTTGATTACTGAGATTGTTTGATCTATCCCTGACCTTAAATTTTGAGCTCAAGCCTCACTTGCCTCACCCTAGCCCTAGTTCTAATGAATCTTAAGGATTTAATACTGATCCTGTCTTCACGCACTAAGAGCAGTAATACTTAATTGTACCTGGTCTTGTTTTAAATTCTAGGCATCATTCCACTGTCTGCCTTTGTGATCTTGAGCAATAAAATTACCCTGTATGACATTATGTTAAAAACATTTAGAGTGGAGAATAAGGATATTTTTTTTACTGAATTGGTGGGATGATGAAATAAAAGTATATATGAGAAAACACTTCTTAAGTTTCACAAATTACTAGTTGTTTAGAAATATTTCTTGGATTGAAATTTTGAGAAAGTCCTAAAAATCAGCCTCGATCCATCCTTTGAGATACCCAATACCTTAGTTTTTCATCTCTACATAACAAATTATGTCAGACACAGTGGCTTAAAATAACACCTATCTATTATCTCACATTTCTGTGGGTCA